ATAAAGAAACCTCCCAAAAGTTATTTGGATAGAGAAATTTCCAAATAAAAAAAACTGAAAATATAAATTTTAAAGTAAATCCCTTAATATAAGAGGATTAAATGTGATTATCTCGTCAGGTTATATATAACTTGAAAATATACTTTTAGGTTTTATCTTCGTAGAACCTCTAAAGAATAAGAGATTCACCGCATGAGAATATAAATTAAGTTTCATGATTGACTACTATTTTGAGAATAAGAACACTATCTAATTATTGGGTTTATCCATTTTTTATTTTACTCTTTCACGAGTTTTAAAAATATGAACATTACTAATTCTAATTAGACTTTTATTCAAGTCTTACAGTTTGGTATAAATTATATCCATTTGAGATTTTTAATTAATTTAACATCTCATTGTTCCATCTGAAATTATATTTGAGATGTTTATGCATTCGAATTCATTACATGCATATCTTTGAATTTTATTCATAAAAGAATGGATACAAAGGAATATATCAACAAAATAGTAGAATGATATGTACCACAGTCAACTTGGGGTCATAGCACTCTAAGGTATATGGGTGACATTTGTAAATTATTGAAATATGTGACAAATAGGTGATTTAACACATTGTGGTGATGTACAATAAGTTAAGGAATATATTTATCGAAGTAATCCTTAAAATCAGTTATGATTGAAACAATTGTACCCATGTCCTCACATAGAATGAAGTCATGTCATGAGTTTGAATCAGGTGACCAGTCTCTTGTCAAAGTAACAAGAATGACCTTATATAACTTTGTGGGGCTTCCCCGAACCCTCACAATGTGAGGACGCCAATGTCCACCAAGGTACCCTCAATGTTTTTTTACATAGAGACTCGCTATAAAATGAGAGAAAATATTAGATTGCATCTAATAAATGCAAAAGAAAATGCATATTTAAGCAAGTTATGAGTCAAAGTGGTCATTGACTCATACAAACTTTGAAATAACTCAGTTAGGTTATTAATTATTCGAATAAAGGATGATATGAAATCCAACACAATGTAAATTGTTGGTTTTAGCATTGATATATAGAAAAACAATATCAATCTTCTAAAGTACGAGAAGAAATATTTACCTTTCATTATGCCTTACAGATATAGTAGAAGGCACGTCAGTTATTTCTTAAAGTTTACTCCTTAGCAAAAATAGAATCGAGACATGTCCACATATGCTAAGGAAATAACAATAAAGATATCTCATTTTTTCAATACAATGTGATATGTGACGACTCATCTACCAAAATGCGGGTCATTTAAGTGATTATGGTTTGGTAGAAATTTACTCATGCTGTCTATTTTCCTGTTGAATAAAAATGTTGCATTTGCAAAACTTCTAGCAAGACTTGTTTATTTAAGGCCCACCACCCGACCAATCAAATCTATGTGACTTGTTACGGCTAGACAGTTCTCATCAAAAATACTTGATGATTATTGCATATATGTCGAGATCAATGAAAAGATCTCGCATCCCATGTGCAAAATAAGATCTCAATGAAATTCACATTTAAAAGAATATAGATGATGAATATTATATCTACTATGCGCATGTGTATATATAATTATTTTCATGGGATTATGCAATATTGCAAGCACTCCTGCACATTTGTTTTTAAACCGATACTAGACAACCACGTTTATGTATACCAATTGGTGACTGGATATTAGCCTGAGATGTTCTACTTATGAATATGTGGTTGTTAAATATTTGTGCCTATTGCGTCTCCCACAACGCATTATAATCGGTTTTAAAAGAAAAATGATGTTTATGTTGGATATGAATCCCCAACAATAATCCGCTACTAGCCTTAACAAATAATGTGTACACCGCTTTGCGGGATATGACTTTAATGAGACAATTGATTTTCCTATCATTAGGGAGAGATTAGAGAAAGAACTCTCTAATTGAATGACAAAATCATTATGATGGTATATCACTACTTTGTCTCAATGATAAATCTTAGACTTCAAAATGTAACATTGAAGTTAAAGTCGTATCATAAATGATTTAAGTAATCAGATTATACACACTACCTACAAACATATTTATAAGTTTGAATTTAAATTAAAAGAAACAATGCTAAAGGAAGAAGCATTGCAATCACAAGCAGTGGGGTTGTGGTTGAGGCCGTGGCTCTCTAAAGGAATAGAGGGAAGCCACATGGTTCGATTAATTATCCACCCCAAGTAGTAGAGGGTAGATAAGGCACAAGCCAATATACTCGTCATCATATGAATTCCTCTCATGAGATTATCTCTGATTAAACATGTCCATGAATTTATAATGGGGGACGCCCCGAAGTTTAAATGATTTCAGAGAATTAAAATCTCAATGTTAATGAGAGTGTGTATGAGTCGAATGATAGACCTTACACTTATACTGACGATATATTCATACAATTGCTCAAAGGAGCACAGAGCACGATGATATCGAACCATACTCTATTGCAATATGAAAGCAATGAGAATACTGGCCTAAATGCGTACAAGTAATCCAAGTATAAATTTAATATTTGACAAAGAGACAAGTATTTGGTATGATAGTGCTAATCAACCAAGTGTAAAGCCTGTAGGACATGAAATATTTCTTTGTTAGAAAGCGTACTGAGATAATGAGGTCCTAATTATTCTAACAACGCCCTGGATTCAAATATGAAAAGTTATACCTCTCTATTTTGACCACAAAAATGTTCAACTACTTAATCTATAAGTAGACTCCAAAGTAATGGAGACACAGCTAAAGATTGTGGACATTAAATGTCCTAATAGAATTTCATTGAATAGATGTATATTAAGTATTTGTTATGTATTTATTATCTTTAATCAAGTGGTTTTAAATTACATTGTATATTTACATTGAAACGTTCACATTTGGATTAAATTAATCTAGACGAGAACGACATACCCGTCTAAGTGACCACTTGACTGAAAAGGGATAGAAAAAGATAGATTGTGTTTCCCCTCCAAGTACCATTATATGTCAAAGATATAGACATAGTATGTAGTCATATTAAAGAAAATGAGAAATCTTAGATACTTGGAAGTCATAATTGAGATAAAGGATCTTGGGAAACTCAGGTTGTTTTGAAAACACCAAGTTGGTTGAATAATAATTCACCAGTTGCATATATCCAAAAGGGTTCTCAGGCAAATTAACATGGATAAATGTAAACTGTTAGCACTCCCATGATCAATCGAAATATGGATGCTAGGAAATATATCCATTATTGGAAAATTATTGGGAGAAGGAATTTCCTATGAAAGTGCAATATGCGCATGATTGTACTTTGACAAACACATTCGACCAAATATTACATTCTCAATAACGTGTTAGCTAAAAATAGCTTTGGACCAACACAACGTATATCGTCATTGGATTAATATCAAGAATGTACTTTGATATCTATGTCAAACCATTGGTGCAATCTTTAGTCATCCCTTTTATAAATTAATTAAATGATTGATGATAATAATATTTCTAAAGGAATCGGAAATGTCAAAAGTATCACTTTAACACAAAGTAACGTGATTTGAGTTTTACCGATGATGGATATCCCCTTACCTCATTGATACTTTCTTAAATGAGTATATATCTACCATGAAAGAAACCAAGATGTTATATACGGAATACCTTGATAAAACTATATATCAAGTACATATCAAATTCTTATTGATGTGTTGCATTCAAGGGGAGTCCTTACATACTTATTTATCATCAGTTATATTGGTGCGTTGTACTCTTTTTCTTTTCTCCTTTTTGACCAAGGTTTATTTTTTCCCATTGAGTTTTGTTACTTAATAAAGTTTTTTTTATGAGACAACACAATATGCACCATCCAACATTTTAATTTTGCGAAAGTAAACAATGTTGAAGAAAGAGCATAATTACTATATCGCATTCAAAAGTAATTGATGTGTAGGTTTTAGTGTACCATACTCCCTTTTCACTTTGACCGATGTTTATTTTTCCCATTGGGTTTTGTTCATTGGCAACGTTTTTGCAAGTTAATTTGGGAAAATTCCCTACGTCTGACACACAGGGGGAGAATTAAAGGAATTATATTTCTCTGTTGTGTGCCTTCGCTAAGGTAATTGATGTGACAAGTATTGAAATTCACATATTTTACTAACACCCTTGATCAATGTAAATATCAAGGGTAGATGTAGACTTGAGGGGGAGTACCCCGACTAGATTACATTACACTCTTTTCCTTTAACCAAATTTTATTTTTTCCCACCGGGTTTTGTTACTTGGTAAGGTTTTTAATGAGGTAACGATACATATAAACTTTAATGATCAAAGCAAAGATCAAATAAAGATAAACTTAATGAAAGAAGCCTATCTTGATGTTATACTCTTTTTTCTCCAGTCAAGATTATTTTTTCCCACATGGTTTTTGTTACTTGACAGAGTTTTGACGAGGCAATAAGACTGATACCAAATTCTATCTACAACTCAGCACAAGGGGGAGTGTTGAAGGAAATTTTGTGTAGTGTGCTATCGTGTATATAGAATATGTATTAGGATCATTCTATGTAAATTATCTATTATATGAGCTCATTGACCCATCTATGTAAACCCTAATATCTCCCTATTTATTGAGTCTTTGATAATGAAACTATATCAACACTGAACACTGACTAATTTTATTTTCACTTAATGTCTACTATTCTGTGTCTACCCATTTGAAGGAATGAATGCTACGCAATTCTTACTTTTGAACCCATCCCTGATTAGATATTTTTTGGGAAAAGTGTCAAATAAGTCCATCTACTATTTAGGAAATGTCAATTAGACCCATGAACTCAAATATCATCCGATTAGATATTCCAACTTAAGAAAAAAGTTCAAATTCACTTTTTAATAGGTCACCCAACAATTATCCGGTAGACACGTACACGTGGCTGACACGTTTTCTTTTATTTATTTTTTCTGTTATTTTCTCTCCTTTCTTCTCCTCTGGCCTTTCTCCTAGCCGCCTCTACCAACTACACCAGTCCGATCCGTTAGCTTTCTTACTTCTCAGCCATTCTCAGGTAAATTATGTCTGACATTTATATTTTTTTTTCCTTTTGTTTCCCAACGCAGTACACCTCCGGACAGCTAACTCCATTGTTCATGAGGGATTGAGGGCTGCAACAAGGTCTTTAGAGATCGCCGTCGACTTCGTAACGCCTTGGAGGCTGGAGCACTGCCTCCCATCGCAGTAGGAGGACGCAACAGACGCCTTCAGCTAGGTCAACGAACGACACACGAGATGCGACGGCTGCGTCGAGTGGATCTGCCGCTACGGCCTACGGCGATTTCTCGCGGTGCAACCTCTACGGGTCCAGCTGTGACGCGGCGGCTCGGAGGACTCTAGTGCTCGGATTCGTAGAGGACACATAGACCAGATGCTTGCGACGGTGCGAGCAAGAAATTGATTGGGAAGAGTAAGAAAGAAAATGGGTGGGAAAGAGAAAGAAACAAAAAGAAAACAAAGGGAGAAGTTGCAGATTTGAAGATGCAGGAAGAAGAAGAAAGGGAGCGGGAAAGAAGGAAGGAAGGAAAAGAAAATAAGGAAAAAGAAAAAAAAAAGTGCCATGTCAGATGCCACAAACGCAATATAACCGGGTACTTGGAAGATACCTGCTAAAATAACATTTTGACAGGTTTTTAATGGTTAGTGGGTCTAATTGAGGGATATTGGTGTTGGTGGGTGTAATTGACATTTTCGAATAGTAGGAGGATCTATTTGACACTTTTCCCCATATTTTTTTTTGATAGTAATTGGACATTTCTATATTTGAACCGAATTGGTCAATATACCATGGCATATGTAGACCGACTAATCGGTAGACGCATACTTCATTGACAGAAATAAATGAGCAAGAGGCCACCGCCAGACCCGGTTTCAGTTCTTAGGGGCCACCGTGCTTCAGTAACAGATGTTAGTTTTCATCCGTCAAAAAGCGTATTGTTCACTGGGTAGGGACTAGCTAATTTGTTCTGAGAGCTTTTCTGTGTATACATGTGTTTGTGGGATTGGAAATTGCTTCACCGTTTTATTTTATCTGTTTTTCAGGTCTGCTGATGGTGAATTGTTCATTTGGAATACTGTGAAGCACAGAGCAATATCATCTGCCTGGTAATGTTCTTCACTTCTCCTCCTATTCAGATCTCGCTTGTCCACAAATGTTTGGCAATTCTGTTAGATGGTATCTTTGAAAGTTTGTGAGAACAAAGGGGTGAAGGTTAATGACTTAATGTGACTGGCCTAGTGAACACTATACATTGTTTTACTCATAGTTTGAAGGTAGCAAAGACAAGCTAGAATACAATTTTATTCATTACATGTTTGGAGCCAAAGATTCATTATTTTTTGGCTTGAGATTACGATGGAATAAATCAAAATGACTCACTAAACTGTCTGCGCTTCTTTGTTATGGAGCATCAGTCGGTCCATGCAATTTTGGACGCGATTTTCACTGTGGGTCATCCGGAAACAGTCCCTCCCTGCTTTCCCTGCTTTAGTACAGGGGTAAGACTGCGTACATACAACCCCCTTACCCCACCGTAGGTGGGAGCTTTTGCGGCACTGGGGTAAATGAAAATGATGAATGACATGTTTGGAGATATATTATCTTCCATCCTGACTTCAATCTCGGAGTATTTCAGAAAACTGAAGTTCGATAAAGTTCACGATTGCCACTAATATAGCTGGATGGTATGCAGGGTATATAGTGCACCCCATGGGATAACCTGCGTTGCATCTAGTTCTCTCATCGGAGAAAACAAAGTTATCAGGTTAGCTGTTATGATTTTAATGTTTATTGATGAGTGATGCTTCCGGAAGTGCTGGACATTTTTCATAGTTTACTGCCTCTATTAATTTTCTTTTGGGACTATTACTACTTTTTGCAGCCAAAGCAGGGATGGAACTGTAAAATGCTGGGAGTTTGGAGATGGAGGTTTGTCAAGGTACTTAGTTTTCAATAATGATCGAATATACACATCATGGAGTCTGCATGATCAGTTTGTGCATTGATTATTTCCTACCGTACTGATAGGTAACTAGCTAATTTCACAGTGAATTCAAGAATCAAAGATGAGGAAAAGAGATTGGCGTAACAACTGAAAGTGCCATATAACAGAAAATAGAGAGAGGGAGAGAGAGAGAGGCAGTTAAAGAGTGCCAACTCTCCAAGTCCCAAGCCCAAATGATATTTCCACCCTGCCTCTATTCTACCCTCAGCATCTATTTATACTAACTCTTCTAATATTATTATTATTCTCATTATTATTATCAGTGCTAATCTGCCCGTATCCTATCATATTTCCCCCCTTAAACAACCACCTTGTCCTCAAGGTGGGTGATAGGAATCAGCCTTGACCTTCACCTTCATCTTCATCCTTGTGCCTCATCCTTCCCAATATCTCACTGAATTCTGAACCTGTAGCTTCAGTACTTGAACCTTCATTTTCATGTTCTTCACTGCACGTAGGAGCAGAAACAAGTCCTGGTGGCAGAATGCTCCCTGTGCTTACTTATGAACTCTTCAAATAAACCGTTAACCCATTGAAGAAGCACAACATCACGTATTGACTCTCCATCTTGTTTTGGACTTAATGCTCCAACTGGTTTTGCAAGAACCAATGATAGGTACTCATCAATTTCCATCTTATCTACTTCAATTTACCGTCAAATTCCTGAGTACCTATCAACCAAGCAAGTAAGTGACTTTATCAAATCCAGATTTTCCGAGAAATAATCACAGTTTGTAGCCTTGATCCATTTACTAGCAAAACCTTACCAGTATCTCCCTGGTTGTTAATCAATTCTCAGCCATTTTTCCTCCTCGTTTTCATTGCTTGGACCATCACATTTTGATATGTTTCTTTCCAGATCAACCTCTTCCATGAGCTTGGTCGATGCCATTGAAACTCTTGAAATACCGTAATCGCTGTCCACTAGCACATAGCAGTATCCACTCACGTGGTATGCATTCTCGTCATGCCACTCTCCAGAGTTATTAGATGTAGCATTTCCTTTACGAAAATAGGACCAAGAACTCAGGCCAGAAGACAAAGCATTTGGATTCAGCCTCAAGACAGCACGAGTAAAAATCTTCATCAGGTTGTCATGAGAAAGTGTTGTTGACACCAATAGGTCTTGACAGATAATCAACGAATATCAATTTGTGTTCTCAACACCAGTTTCCAACACCCATATGTTTGAATGAACTTCAAGAACAACCTCTCTCCCAATAGTCAATGTTGGAATTAACCTTGTTTATAATTTCATCGTGTTTAATTTAGTTTATTTTGAGTCATTGATGCATTTTAGACTAGAGTGTGAGTGCACGGCGGGATGAGTCATGCCAAGTAGTGCGCGTCGCGTGGCACCGTGCATGTGTTGTAGCGGTATTGATGTGCGTATGTGCCGTTACATTAGTGTTAGTCTAATTAGTTAAGTTGCACATTAAGTTATTTGCATTTAGTATTACATTATGTTATTAGCTAGATATACATGCATGTACGTACGTAGTGCCGTAGTGGTGAGTGCCGAGTGGGTGGATTGTAACCACCGGCATGTACTACGTTAGTTTTTGTTGGAAATAGCATTTAAAGCATATGCCTTTTTATATTCCAGACTTTCCAGCAGCTTAACTTTTCATTTTCCTTTATGACTTTCAGTTTTCTTTTGTCCTTTAATGTATCATTTACTTCCCTATTCCCTATATATATGGGAGTCATAATGTATGATTGAATATGAGAAATACAAGAAGGCTTCTCTTCCTAAATCAACATGGTATCAGAGCCATGGGTATGGTCTGAAATTCCTTCTGCACGTGGAGGGGACTTTGATCATATTTTCTGGTGAATCAATCTTCAAGGTTTTTCATCATGGTGGTAACAAGCAGTAGTGAAGAAACTCATGTTCCCGTTTACGTCCCAAATCTTTCTGGAAACCCTACTATTACCCATAATAAACTTATTAGATCACAAAATTATCAAGATTGGGCATGTACTGTGGAACTGTGGTTCATGGGACAAGGAGTGGATGACCATTTGGTCACAGAAGCTGATTCAATTGAGTATCAAAGAGAAGTCTGGAAACGCGTTGATGCCCAACTTTGCAGCATCTTATGGCAGTCTCTCTCACCAGAAATCGTTCCAATGTTCCACCCTTTCAGGACGTGTATTTCTGTCTGGGAGCAAGCCAAGTCTCTCTATACAAATGACATATCTCGCTTTTATTCAGTTGTTGATGAAATTTTAAAAATAACAAAATCTGGGATGTCAATGGAAACTTTCTTAGGGAAAGTTCAAGGCTTAATGACAGAATTTAATACACTTATGCCAATGGAAGAATCCATTAAAAGACAGCAAGCTCAAAGGGAAAAATTCTGGGTAGTCTTGACACTCTCCAAACTAGGAGCGGGTTTTGAAGAGGTTCGACGTCAGATCTTGAGCGAGAAAACTGTGCCGAACATTACTGAAGTTTTTACTCGGCTACTTCGAGGGACCTCAGTCACAGAAGACAACAATGCTAATAACTCTGCTTTTGTTTCTCACTCTCGGGGTGGTCGAGGTAGAGGAAGAGACAATCTTCACGGAAGAGGAGGAGGCCGTGGCAGAGGTATGCAACGTTTTTGTGATTATTGCAACAAGCCAGGACACCCACGTGATCAATGTTGGAACCTACATGGGAAACCAAGCACGGTCAATGTAGCTGAAGTCAATAAGGAAACTAAATGTTCCCATGTTCTCTCACAGTCTGAGTATGAAGAATTCCAGCAGTTAAAGGCTGCTCGAACCTCAATTACACCTGACAAAACTCATGTTTCCTTGGCCTCTCAGTCCAATCCTGTTTGGATTTTTGACTCAGGTGCTACCGATCACATTTCTGGTAATCCTTCACTTTTTACATGCTTGACATTTTCCAATTCTCTTCCATCTGTTACCTTTGGTGATGGGTCAATAGGTAAAGCTATGGGAATTGGAAATGCCTCTCCACTCCCTTCTCTCTCATTATCCTCTGTATTGTATATTCCTAATTGCCCCTTCAACTTGATCTCTGTCCATAAACTCACTTCACATCTTAATTGTGAAATTATATTTTCCAATAAATCTGTGACTGTGCAGGACCGACAATTGAGGAAGACGATTGGCACAGGATATGAATCACAAGGGTTATATCATCTAGCCAACACCAATATTGTTTGCACTGCCACCTCTACCACACCATTGCTTCTTCATAGTCGATTTGGTCATCCTAGCCTAAATAAGCTTCGTCAACTTGTTCCTACAATGTCTAATGTTTCATCAATCGAGTGTGAGTCATGTCAGTTAGGAAAGCAATCTAAAGCTTCCTATAAAAATAGGATAAATAAACGAGCAGTTGCTCCCTTTTCTCTAATTCATACTGATGTATGGGGACCGAGTCGAGTTAAGTCTATCTTTGGATTTCAGTACTTTGTTACATTTATTGATGACTTTTCTCGTTGTACTTGGATCTATTTAATGAAAGATCGGTCTGAACTTTTCAATATATCTCAAAAATTTGTCAATGAAATAAAAACTCAGTTTGGGGTGGTAATAAAAACCATTCGCAGTGACAATGCCAAGGAGTATTTTTCCGAATCCTTCTCTAAATTTCTGGATAGTCATGGGGTCCTTCATGAATCTTCCTGTCCAGACACTCCTCATCAAAATGGAGTGGCTGAACGGAAGAATCGACACCTTGTGGAAACTGCCCGAACCATGCTTATTCATTACAAGGTACCTAAATACCTTTGGGGGGAAGCCATTCTTCACTCTTGTTATCTCATAAACCGCATGCCTTCTGATATACTACAAGGAAAGACTCCTTACAATGTTTTGTTCCCTGATGAACCTTTGCACAAATTACCTTTAAAGGTGTTTGGGTGCACTTGTTTTATTCGTGATATCACTCCGGGAAGGGATAAACTCTCTCCTAAAGCTATCAAGTGTGTGTTCTTGGGATACTCTCGTCTTCAAAAGGGCTTTCGATGTTACTGTCCTACGTCAAAGCGTATGTATACATCTTTTGATGTCACTTTCTTTGAGTCTACTCCATTTTTCTCTCATTCTTCTTCCCTTGACAAATCAAACTTTACTGATGAGTCTACAGAAATTGTCCCTATGCAGCCTTTCAAAGAACATGAACCCGTTCTGCCTGTCCCATACTTTCCTGAACCTGAACCTGCATCCCGGGCCATCCCTGAAAAAGGAACTCCCAGTGACATTCCAGAGAACCATCTTATTGAGTTCCCTTATACCTATCACCGTCGACATCGTTCGAGTAAGCCTTACCATCATCCAACAGAAAAAGAAGATAGTAATCCAAGTGATTTATGTGCTGAGCCATCGTCACCTCAAGAGTCAGCCCAAGAGATAACTAATGATCTTCCTATTGCCAGCAGAATTGGTAAAAGATCCACCCGAAATCCTTATCCTATCTATAACTTCCTCTCATACAATCATTTGTCACCATCATATTGTGCTCTTATTACACGTCTCTCTTCTGTTTTTGTTCCTAAAAGTGTCAAGGAAGCATTGAGTCATCCAGGTTGGAAAAGGGCCATGCTTGATGAAATGGAAGCTCTTCACTCTTCAGGGACATGGGAACTTGTGCCTCTACCACCAAATAAACCTGTGGTCGGCTGCAGATGGTTATACACAGTCAAGGTTGGTCCTACTGGCATGATAGACCGGCTAAAAGCCAGACTTGTAGCCAAAGGATACACACAAGTGTTTGGAATGGACTATACTGATACATTCTCCCCTGTTGCAAAAATAGCATCAGTTCGCACTTTACTGGCTATTTCAGCAATACGACAGTGGCCGTTACATCAATTGGATATAAAAAATGCATTCCTACATGGAAATCTAAAGGAGGAGGTTTATATGGAACAACCTCCGGGATTCATTGCTTCTGAGGGAG